CAGTGTAAACTTTGCCTCTAACACATCAAATAACAATTCATAGGAAACATGAAACATATGCAAGTAAATAAGATATGTAGACAAGTTTAAAAGACAAAGCACAAGAAGTTTTTGGACGGAAAACCCACCTCTGGGTTAAAAAACTGGAGACTTTACTAAGGCCAATCCAACAGTGTAAAAAGTACCACACAAAACTCAATTCCTAAATCTAGTCTAAGGAACAACTTTATCTTTGTGCAACCTTGCCTTACACGAGAATGATTCATTCTGTCTTCACGAAGTGGTAGCTCTTCCTGAACTTTTCACCTTGTGGCACTGATATGAAAATGATGATAATGTGCTATCTAGATTCAATGACTAGTCAATTTAGAGTTGAATGAAGAAATTGACGTGACTCTGAAAATGGGGTCTGTGTAAAGATCTGAAACTTGAAGAACTTGACCACCAAATTAAAATAAAACCATGAAGACAATGCTACCCTAATATGCAATGATTAGGTGTTTGATGCATGAACATGGTTTTGTGGCTAGGGTTTCAATGAACAATACAAGAGATAGCTCAACGCTAAAAACCCTATACTTATGTATCCTCCTAAACTCCTATAGCTTTGTATCATTTGTTTCTTCTATCACCTCTGTAATGGAATCATATTCTTTAGACAAACTAATCAAGGGTTTTTGTATTCTTTTCCATAGCATTTCATTCGATTTACCAGCTCAAGCAATTTTGTTATATAATATACCTAGACAAGGATTCATCATCTTGCATATGTGTATATTCAAATTCCCTTCTAAGTGCTTCCAATTTTCTAGATCATACCTTCTTATCTCCTAGAAATTCTTGTTGCAAAATCTCCTGAGCATCCTTTGTAGATTTTTGCAATGCGATTCTGAGAAAAATGTCATCGGAGACTGCATTTTGAATCGGTCCCAATGCCCTAGCATCCTTGGCAACATTTTCCTCCAGTTCAAGCTTCTGAGCTACTGTCAGAGTACTACCTTCCTCGTTCACTGGGCTTTCATACCTATGTTCAACCATATCTAAGATCTTGTGCGATTTAAAAATCGTACTCATCTTAATTCTCCAGAAATCATAAATCCATTGAAAATGAAAGCTTGAAGCTCACTCACTCTAGATCTAGTCATGTAATACCAACTTAACAAGATAAAGGTTATCTTTGTTGGATTTTCTGATTTCTTTTTAGATTTCATGATGCCCGGATTTACGTTCGAACCTGAGCTCTAGATACCATGTTGAAATTCTAAACTGAGCTTATGTTGAAATTCTAAACTGAGCTTATATACAGAGTCTTGCAATACAAAGATGAAAAATCTAAGAGAAAACAAGCATTGCAGGAGGAAAAGGAAGATGAAGCTAATCAGAGGATAGAGAAGTTTGTCAGTGCTATACTAAACATTAGGGCTGGGCATGGGCCGGGCTGAGGGATTTTGAGTTTGGGAACTGGACCTAACCCAGCTAGTTTGAAACGGGCTGGTTCGAGATGGGTCCATGGGTCCAATTACTTTTTTTTTTTTTTGGGTCTGACAATGGGCTGTTTTTTTTATTACCAACAACACATTTACATTTACAAGAGAGGCCCACAGACAATACAAACCAATGAAACCAAGCCCAACATAAAAAACCCTAACATCCTGTACTGCATCCTCTTCCACTGCATCCTCCGCCGCTGCTGCCATCAGATGGACCACCAAACTCAAACTAGTGGCATGAAATCAAACCAAATCGAGCCCCCAAAGTGGATAAAAAGAAGACTTTAACAAGTCTAGCCAAATCCTTTACAGCATGATTTTGCAAAGCTAAACTAAAATCAAAACCAAAACCAATTAAATCCAGAAAATTTAGAAATTATATCCCTAATTTCAGTAACCCTGAAATTTCAAAAATCTTAATTCATAAGTCCTAAATCCCTGAACTCAAAAACCAAATAATTCAAAAACCCTAATTTAGAAATTACCTTAATTTGAGAGAAGATGATATGATATTTCGAATCACATGGTGATGGTGGTGTTTTCGACGGCGGCGATGGGTGGTCACATTTGGGAGGAAACAATGGCGATGGTGGTGTTCACATGAGGACTCGACTCGAGTGAGAGAGGGGACTGAGAATTGAGAGGGATAAGAGTCAATCTGGACTATGGGGGAGAGAGATCGAGAAGGAGGACTCTAGGACAGAGAGATCGAGAGGGAGGACTCTGGGAGAGTCTTCGAGAAAGATGTGATGTGTGTGAGATTTGAGTGTGCGCGTGTGTGTGTGTGAGGTATACGGTTCAGGGCGGGGGCTCGTGAGTTCAAAAGATTGGATCCAGCCCACCCCTCTGTTTGCTTGGACCCTACCCGACCCGTCTCGTTTTGTGTATAAAATAATATGGACCCGATCCATACCCACCCTTAACCGCTAATAGCTGCCCCTACCCGTAGGCCTAGGGCCTATTTGCCCACCCCTACTAAACATAGCAGTGCACGCACACATTCGTTCCAACAGAAACAATTCCTTTTACATGTTTAGAGATGACATCACAACCTTACAATGTAGTCAGCAATATGAGCTAGACACTTGTCATCTATCAAAGACATATAAGTCTTACAAATACATCAAGACCTTACACGTCCAACTTAATTCAAAACGAACTATAACTGTGAAGAATTAAATTAAAGAAAAACTAATGAAAATGGTTTAAAAACTTCGAGTTTTAACGATAATGACAAAATAAAGGGTAAAGTGAATAGTACTAGGATTGACTTTTTAGTGTAAAAATGTGATTTTTTTTTTTTAAAGTGAACAGTACCATGAGTTTTTCGTTAAAGTTCCCTTAAATTAAACTAATGAAGAATTTACATTTCAACACTTCTCAAACAAGAAACATTTCTAGTTGGCGAACAAAGAATGTGTGGCATAGAAATTGATCTGTACTATTTTTAGTCTGTAAAGGATCATGAATTTTTTTATTTTCGATATGAAGAAGCAATTATCATATATATTAAAAAACAAGGCTCACAGTGTTTACAGAAGAGCCATGAAGGCTGTAGAATTTCAAAAGATGCAATCAAGCAATTGTTTTTGTATCTTTATGCATACAGTGTTTACGGACAACACAATTAGTTTTTGTATTTTTGTGTCTAAATGTTGATATCAATTCCAACTGACACAATATTTGCACGCAGACTATTAACAATAATTTAACCACAACCTAATTTCATGGTGTTAATCATTTGATTTTCAGTATCTAAAGTACTTTTGTTCAATATTCTCTGCTTGGATTTGGGAAAAATCAGAAAAGGGCACAAAATATTAAAATAGTTATTTGAAGCTATGCATGCAGCATGCATGTTCCTTGTTAAGTTTACAATATTCTATTTACATTTTTCTTTCGATATATTCAAGATTACAAGTTTTCTCTTGCCATTTTATTATATTTTTTTTTATATAAAACTAAGATTAAATCTTTAATTACATTCTCAACTGCATATCTATAAGAACAACACGTACATAAATTATTAGATAACCCTATTTCCCTTTAACTCTGGAGAATAAAAATTGATAGAAAAATAAAATACAAAAAAGGTTGAGCTTAGGATCAAAGATTCGACCCCTCCGTTGAGACAAAAACAAAAGATAAAAAAAAAAGATTAAAATGATAAAAAATAAAAAAATAAAATTTTGATTGCTATACTGATCAGAACCCTTATAAATCATCATATCACCCTTATGGATCCGTCATTTTATTGAGATTAGTTAGTTTAGTGCTTGAAAGTTGTATTAGAGCAGTTGCATAAAAATGTATGTTTTTTTAACTTATTCGAATTTTGAAATGCAAATAATTCCATTTCTTTAACTTTTGGTGCTAGGTATATAGTATAGTAGTTATCTCTACCTAATGAATTGTTTTAGAGCAATGGACTAAAATGATAAGAAACTAAGTTTTGATTGCCAAATTGATCCGACGTTTTTTTTTTTATTTTTATTATTATTATTTTTTATTTTTAAGATTTGTTAGTTCAACAATCAATTTCTAATTTTTTTTTTTTTTATGGATACCCCATCATGGAAAGCATGTATAGTGTGGGATCCCATCTCTCCTTACTCATTTGTATTTTTCCTACTTGTGACAAGGCATGATTTCATTTGTTCACAAAAGCAAAAAAGGGCGTCCTCCTTATCATGGGACAATGGAATCATTCTTTTTTATAATCTTTGGAGATGTTACACATTGTTGAATTGTCGTTACTTCTTTTGTCCCATTCAACTATAACTATATCCCATAATATCTCCAAAACCACAGCGGACATACTTTGCGAACAACAGCCGCCCTTACCCAACTGTACATCATTTGGACTTACTCCCCTCGAAATCCAAATTTTGATTCTAGTATTATTAGTTCATGTCATTGAACCGTTAATACGACAAAAGCTTGTGGCAAGTGATTAGAGTAATGTTAAGCTGACTGCATATTTGTATTACATTGACGAATTATATGACATGGCATTCAATAAGATAAACATGTTAATTAATATGATAGTGTATATCCAGAGAATTATTATTGACACTTCAAAATCTCACTTTACATTCCAAACTTTTTATAATTAGAAAGAAAAATACATTTGTGAGAACAGTAAAATAAATTTTTTGAAGCGCTAATAACAATTCCTTATATCAATTGCCACGTAAGATATACATATACATTGAACATGCATCGAATGTGATCCAGACAAATTATATTTCATCTATATCAGACGACTAAAAGCTTTTTAAGTAAAAACCTAAGCAATCATCTGTATGTAGAATGTCATTTATCCCTATTGGATATCCCATCCATGTGGGGTTTTCAGATTTCATAATAATTAACATGCATGTACATGATACATGCATATGTTTATATCTATAGAAGGTAATCTATATATAAGATTATCTTCCATAAAAGATCAGATACCCTTCCATGTTAGGTTCTTAGTCATACATATTTCTCTCTTATCTTCATGTTTATATATAAATCTGTGTGTATAAATCCAATCAACAAATGCCAACAAATTGATCTCACTAAACCTTGATTTTTTTCATCTTGTTTCTCCTAATATTTCCAATGGGTGCTATATCAGATCCCTATGGAGCCCATCTCCATGATATCATCCCCATCGACTTTAACACAATCCAGACATTGCCTGAATCGCATGTATGGCATGATCACTCCGATGAGTCTTCATCTAGGGTACCCTCCGCTGACCCGTTATTTGTACCTGTCATCGACCTCATGGACCCGGAGGCTCCAAGTCTCATGATCCGGGCATGTGAGGAATGGGGTATCTTTCAGGTGATAGGTCATGGCCTTACAAAACTCATGGACGATGTGGAGTCTGAAGCTGAAAAATTGTTTGGTCTTCCTGTTGACCAAAAACTGAAAGCCCTACGATCTCCAGGTGGGGCTACTGGGTATGGTCGTCCTCATATATCGCCATTTTTTGACAAACATATGTGGCAGGAAGGGTTTACTATCATGGGGTCTCCAGTCGATCATGCTAAGCAACTTTGGCCCCAAGACTATCAAGGCTTTTGGTAAGTCCTCCATGCATTTCCATGCACGTACGCAAAATGACAAAATTAGTTATACTCTCATTATAAAGTTTGTCATGCTTTCTGTTTGGGATATGTTTGGAGCAACCTTGAGTAAAATTTTGTTTTGAGGGGCATATACGTTTCTATCCAGAAACGAAACATATCTACTTAATGGGTTCAATAATTTACATAAGAATAGACAGTCACTTACCCTTCTGCCTTGCTCTTATCAGTGTTTTAAAAGACTTGCCTTTGGGTGCGCCTAGGTGGCCTTGAAGGCGGGGCTACACCATTTTCACCTCTATTTTAAGGGAGTTGACGAAATACATGCCTAGGCTTCTTGGGGCGCGCCTAGGTGCTTGAGGCGTGCCTGAGGCGTCGATTTGGCATCCCTTTTTCTTTTTTTAAGTTTCAAGAATCTAGAAACTTTTGAGAGTTGTAGAGTTGTTTTGAGTTGCAGGCCATGAACACCAACGAAGGAGATGAAAAAGATGAAGAAGACAACTAGGTTTTTTAGGCTGAGTTGGTGTTTTTAATTTTTTTTTAATGCTTAAATTGACCCCACTTTGCCACATTTATTATCCCATTGGCTTCACTTTTTTTAAAACTAATCCCCCTTTAAAAACATTTATTACCCCACTATCTCTTTTCTCTTCACTTTTTATTTCTAATATTTATTTTCTCATATACTAGATATATATTAGATGAGCATTGTTTTGTTTTTGCTTTTATTATTTTCCTGAATATTCTCATGATTGGATGTAGGAAAGAAAACACCTTTTTATTTGGATTATTATTTTCTTAATGTTATATTATTCTTTTTTTAAAAAGTTCTTTATAGTTTTTCCTTATTTCTCTTTTTTTTAAGACTACCTATCCCACCCAAATATTATCCAAAACTCTCATATAACAGGCACTTACTTAAAGTAGATGTTAGAAATTGATTAATTTGATTGTTTGATTAAACTTGGTTATGTGAGTTAAACTTGTTTGTGACTATTATATTTTTATATGTATAAAATATGTATTAAAAGGTTAGGTCTCAGCCTCACGCCTTAAGGCTTTTGCTTAGGCGGGGCTATCCATCAAACGCCTCGCCCACGCCTTCGCATTTTAAAACATTGGCTCTTATAAAGGAAAACATAAAAAAAAAAATTGAAAGATATGTTACGTACTATATACCATATTAAGTGTTACATTTAATCAAACTTCAAGTTACATTAAGTTTTCTAATTTATTTTTGCAGTGACACAATGGACGATTATCAGAACCAAATGAAGGCATTAGCACAGAAACTAATCCACATTTTCTTCAAATCTTTGGACATTAATTTTGAAGAATTTGATTGGCTTAATGACAGTGGGTTAAGTAGTCCGAGCACTGCTTTGCAACTAAACTCCTACCCGCCCTGCCCTGATCCTACTCGAGCCCTGGGCATGGCAACACACACAGACACATCCCTGGTCACCATTGTCCAACAATCCAAAACCAGCGGCCTCCAAGTCTTCAAAGACGGAGCCGGGTGGGTTCTGGTACAACCCATACCCGGTGCCCTAACTGTTAACCTTGGTGACTATCTCCACATTCTCTCCAATGGGATGTTTACAAGTGTCCGTCATCGTGTTGTGGTGAACCAGCAGATCCAGCGATTTTCCATGGCCTACTTTTATTCTCCCCCAAGGGATTTTACAGTCTCCCCGGTTCTCTCTAGGGTTCTGGAAAAAGTGCCTAAGTACCGTTCACTCACAGTGAAGGAATATGTCGATATCAAGGGGAAGCATCTTGAAAAGGCATTTTCTTTGATTCAAAATTAGTGCAGCTGATTAATCTTTATATGTTAGAACAAATTTGAGGGAGATTATTAATTTATTGTTAGTTTTTCCTCTTCTCTCTAGCATGCACAGATTGCTTATTTCCTGTAGTTCTTTTAGGAATCCGATTGGTCAGAGCTGGATTATATTACAATGCATTATATGGTTATATTGCAATGTTTTTTTTTATTACTAGTCTAATAACGTAGATACTATTATGTCATTTTCAACCAAAAAACAAATGATACCGAGGACAGAAAAAATCAAACACACAATTTCGGGTGCAGAATATTCAAAATCCTTTGAGCTAATGGATAATCATTCTCATATAGTGTTAATCACATGTCAATTTAGCTACATGATGAGAATGCTAAACAAACATGTCAAAAAAAAAAGATATCGTGCGTACATGTTCTTTCTTTTAACTTCCGGAAGATTTATACCTATGATTGGACCACATGAACATAGAGATGAATTGATCGAGGGCGACATCCTTACGAACTCTATTGGAAAAGACAAAATCTAGCCATGTTCTCATGCAAAGGTATTATACCAAATTTGACTCATTGTCTAACTTTTCGGTCGAAATTTCAATTAAAAAGCCTAGTGTAATTGGTTAACTATATTTTATTAATTTAGTGACAACTAACATAAACGGTTATTCAAATGTTACATATTAATACGTTAAATTTAGAAAGAAAAAAAAAATTGTTCAAGCAAAGGACAAGTTGTCTTCATGCGGAGACATGCAAGTTTGCGGAGGGAACCACATCATATATAGGTAAACTTGAAGACTCATTTGGAAGTGCATTTGAAATGACTAAAAATATTTTTAGAAAAATGTTTTGAGTTTTAAAAGCACTTGTAGGAAGCACTTCAAGTGTTTTTTTTTTTTTTTTATGATTATTGACTTTTTTTACTAAAGATTGGTTTGAAAAACTTTTGTACCAAAATCACTTTCAACTATTTTAAAAATAATTTCAAACGAGCCATTTTCAAAGTATAAGATCCTATGTATTTTGTTGTATTATGTTGTATTTTATTTCTCTGATGTTCTGAAATTATGAAAATGCCCCTAAAAGGGCTAAATGGAAATTATAAAAGCTTGATTTCCACCAAAAGACTCACCGTCACTTGTAGACTATGAGTCAAGCCTTTCGTGCTCGAATCTACCTCGAAGTGAGAAGATTTGAAACCTTGATTTTCAAGCCTAGACTTTCCGGCCGAAATCGGCAACTTTAGTGAAATTCAGTTTAGTTTTGGACGCTAACCGATTTCTGAAAATTTTTTGGCCAAAAACCTAGATTCTGGCGAAGATCTGGCCGACAGACAGCGGCGAGCAGAGGCTTCGACGATCGGCATGAGGTAGGAGACGACTGGATAATCTGTAATGACGATGGAATATTATCTAACGGTGTCAACACATTACGTTAACTGAAGGTATATTCCTTCCCTGAATATTCTTTCACACAGACAAAATAGTCTTTCCGGTGATTAGAATCAGGAAGATTCCGAACAAAGGCGACGAAAAATTCCACCGATGGCGCTTAACGACTAACGACTAGTACGTGAACCTAGTTTTAAGTACTTCAATCCCCGTGATGAGCAAACAAACGGAATTTCAAGACTTTTTCTTAGTATCTACGAGCTTTAAGTAGTATAGTTGTTTCACATATAAAAGAGACTTATCCAGAGGAGTTTAGAGGCCAAGCAAGACAAGTGGGGTACAACCCGACGACGTATCAACGAGTGAGCTTTGTTTTTAAACATATATTATATAATTAAATTTCCATAATGACTTTTTATGTAGTGTTTTACAACATGCTATGCTTTTACTTATAAATACAAGTGCTAGTGATGATGTTGAGGTTTATGAAATAATGATGGATCATACCTATTTTATATGCTCATCATTCATGCTTACGCCGAAGTTTATAGTTCTCGTTCGGGTCCGGATTAACTTCACGTGTATATTCACATTGCACTATTACGTTCTCATTGTGTTCTTCGTAAGTGCCCACTTGTACTAGTTGCTTTTGCATCTAGAACTCGTATGGGACATGCTTAGCGCCAATTTCACATGAATGTAGTACTTCAACATAGATTATTAAACCCGCATTTGGATCCTCTCCAAATCTCCTCCCTAGGGATCCTGGGGATCAAGGCACAAGGACCGGTCATCAAAGATCGTGCGGCCACAATTAAATGTTTTTTACGCAAAACGAGATTGCTTTACTTTTAAAGATATAAAAAGCATTTAATTGTGACCGCACGATCTTTGATGAATGGTCCTTGTGCCTTGATCCCCGAGATCCTCAGGGAGGGGTCCAAATCCATTACATTCTACACGGACTTCTGTGTCTGCATTTTTTTATGAGCATATTAAGTTATTTTTTATTTACCTGTATCATTATCACAATTGCTTTTATACATTCACTTTGATTTTCATACTTATTTGCTGTATTATTTTGGAAACTATACATATTTTACAGTAAGGGGTAACTATATTATGAAAAGTAAAGGATTTAATAAATCCTTATTTTTGCTCACTCACACTTTCTGTTTTGCGCCCCTCTATGACTTAGTAGTAGGATTATGTGAAGAGCAAGGGATCATTAGCAGGTTTTGACATTCACTTTTGATAATGTAAAAATTATATTTCTTGTTAGTTGTGTAATATCCATCCTACGAGAAATTTTTCTGGGTTCAGAGCACGTGGTCACCACTAATATCATCCAACATCTGGCAAAAAAATTACCTGAGTTAAATGCGTTTCGGCTTCCCAAAAATATAATCAAATCCATTTTGGATCAACTTCCTTTCTTATTCCTAGTATTCATTTTTTCATTTCTCAGATAAGAATTTATTTGATCAAAGAAATAAAAAATCGGAGTTCTATCCACAGTCCACCACCTCCGCCGCCACAACAGCCCCTGGACAAAAGGGAACGCCGGTGAATGCACCAGCTCTTGAGTTGCCGCCGACCATTTTTGTCGAAGTAAGAGTGGGATAAAGAGAGGGAAGATGAGAAAGATTAGTAAGATAAAGTTGCCGATAAAATCCACAACCAACGATGGAGGTGGATGGTTGCTTTGTGATGGGAGCTTGGGGTCAATGGTATGGAATATTGTTTAATACACTCCACATACTTAATACACCTCATATTTTCTTTTTTAATTAAAATGTATCTTAATACACCCTACATCCTTTCCTGTAGTACCCTCACACCCCAACTCTCAACATACATCTTAAATTTCCTACCTACACCTCACATTTTGCTACCGACACCCTACCCTACACTCTTCACATCTTAGATGCAAATACATAAGTTCAACCAAAGATCTTATTTGTTTCTTCGAATGGGTGGTTTCTAAGTTGTTTCTCCTCCCTGTCAAATAATAAAGATAAAGATTTGAGAATCAGCATTAATGGAAAGAAATAAAAAAAACAAATTGAGAATCCATCGGCAAAAAGGGATTTAGAAATGCATAGCATAATGGTTTTGCATTAACTTGATGAATACTATTTTTGGATTGCTTCAAACTTTTCCAGAAGCTAGCCTACTCTTTGATAATGAAAAAACCATGAAATTCGGCAAAAAGCTACATAAAACTACCATGATATTCTGCATGAGCTTGCCTAAACCTTTAAAATTTGCTACTTCCCTCCATTGCTTCACAAAATTCTAACCACATCAAAAGAAATAAAACATTAATATTAGTTTCCTCCCGTCTCATTAGAACTTAATTACCGTAAAAACCACTAATAAAATAAAGCATGTATAAAAGATTGTTGTTGTATGAAACATTTTGTGGTGTTTAAAAGGTCTGAAAGAAAGTAAGCCCAAACTAACCTTAAAAATCTGCAAATTGACAATTGTATGCTATTTGTATAAGTCTAATAAGAAAGATTTTTTTTTGGTATGACAATTCTTGTCACAAAGCTTCGGGTTTCTGGCGAATAAGCTAGCATGTCTCATTGCCAAACTTGAGATAGCAATTTAACATGGTAAATTGTTACATGTAACGGGCAGAAGGTGAGCACTGTTTTGAGAGTTGAAGAAGATAAATAATCTTAGGATACACATGCTAAAAGTGATTTGAGGTTTATGTAGAGTTTATTTATTTAATTTTAAAATCTTATAAGATCGAAATTGTCATTCCATATTAAGGTATATAACTCATTTAATATTAAATTTTAAAGTGGAATGTATTCAACATATTGTTGAGTGCTAATAAAATAGTTGGCATTTTTTTACCTAAAAATATAAAAAGAACATATTTCAAGCCTTCATTTGTGGGGAACACCAGAAAAATTTTACATGCATGTGTAAAAAGGATTCTTGTACTGCATCCCATACTGCATACTCTCACTTCTAGATTACATTAGTTCTAGACTTCGGTTTTAATTTATTCGTATTTTTACATATCATTTGCATATTATGGATTTGTCACTTTTCAGGTGTCTGCCATCATGCCTTGATTTTAATGGCCACTTGGATATCTAGGTCGAGGTGTGTCAGTACCTATGTTTTGGATTTTCTTTTAGGCCAAAACATAATTTTTTATGTTGAATTTTCTATTTTGTGACAAAACATAATTTTTTATTTTGAATTTTCTTTTTATGACAAAACATAATTTTTTATTTTGAATTTTCTTTTAGGCCACAACAATATTTACACCAGTGGTGAAAAAATAAATTGATATTTGTTATTCACGAGATTAAAACCTAAAACCATCACTTATATATATATAAAGATAAGTCGAACCATATACTCTTAACAGTAATCTAACTCATTGGTCTCATATTAATCAATTTAAAATGTGTATGGCAATGATACTCTCTCTTTTTTATTTTTTATTATTATTTTTTAATGGTGTTAGTGGGTTAAATTGATAGTTGTTAGGAGAAGAGGGATTGTGGGAGTTGAACCTGCACCAAGTTGCATAGGCATAAAAGCTTTCCATCAAAGCCACCCCCCCCCCCACCCAACCCCCCCTTCTTTTTTTTTTTTTTTTTAACAAACAATAGTGTTAGTGGGTTAAATTGATAGTTGTTCGGAGAAGAGGAATTGGTGAGAGTCGAACTCACACAAGGTTGCATGGGCATAAAAGTTTTCCATCAAAGCCC